CTCTGTCTTCCCACAGTCCGCTGCCACCAGAAAATGCTTCTGAAAGGTTTCAGCTGAGGAAGGCCAAAATAAGTCTCCATAACCAGACCAGAAGAAAGGACATTGAACAAATGCCCAAATGAAAATGCTCTGAAAGGAAAGTGTCAGGAAGAGAGTGACATTGGGGATGGAAGGTGAGGTGGGAGAAGCGTGCTGGGCAGGGTAGGGAGGGCTGGGGAGGGGAAGGCACACGGTCGCACAGGGGGTTGTAGACCATGGGAAGAGCTTGGGTGCTCTGGTCCTCAAGTGCAGTGATGGGTTTGCCGTCCATTAATCCTTAGCCAAAACTGCTCACTGAGAGTCTGTGTATTCTGGGTGTGCGTTAGCACTCAGTCTGTCGGGTAAAGCTCAGAGACCAGGACAGATGGCCTACTGGGATTTGATAGTGCCACTTGTCTTCCCTGTACAGCATCCCTCAAAAATTTGTCCTGGTGGAAAGGCCACGGCCCACAGCTCTGTTAACATACCAGGTGTGTCCAGGAGGAGGAAGACGTGCTCTTTTATTTGCACGAAAATCATACAATTTCCACTTTCACGAGGTCTTAGTAACTTGAGGTAATGAGAGGGATTAAATGTCGCAGGAAACCAAACACTGCAACAGGTGATAAGGAGAGTTAATAAAATCCTAAGAAAAGCCTAACACGGTGGAATGTCACTAGAAGAGCTATCCTTTGCGGTCTTTAAAGCACCTTTCACACCGAGAAGAGTCCTGAAGATCAGGGAAGCGAAAATGGATCCGCCCTTCCTCTCTCTCCTCCAGACACCCCAGATGGAGGCCAAGTGCTCATATACGCAAAGATGGCATGATTATTAAGAATTTGGAAACTGCCCTTTCTGGGAAGGTTCTAAAGCGTTGTAGTCCTTTACTTTCAGGGTGTGCATAATACTTGAGAAGAAAGCTGCTTGGGTTTGTAGTTAGAAACCTGGCTGAGACGGGCGCCTGGCTGTGACTCTTGATGTGGGGGTTGTGAGTTCATGCCCCATGCCAGGTGGAGGGGTTACTTGAAAAGAACTTTGATGGAAATAAACAGCATTACTCCCACCCCAAGCAAACCTCCTTTATGACTTTTACATAAGTGTGCAAATGACAGTATAAACCCAAAAGTCTTCAAAGCCAATTTAAATATTAGATTCTAATAGTATTGAAACCAAAGAACTGTCCACTTAAAGTCCACGCTGTTCTTGCACATTTGGGGTTAAGAGGTTTTAACCATTTCTACTTTCTGTGCTTCAGCTCAACATAGTCCCTGACCACATGTAAAGCAAAGTTGGAAGGTAGACTTCTCCAAAAGACTAAAAATGAACTGAAAGCAAGAAAAGACTGATTTGACCATAAATATTTTTATTAAATGTGAAAATACACGGGCATAAAAATAGTACCCATATTTGCAGACATCTGAGACCCATTTCAATTAATTTTCAGGTTTTTTTATTAAAACACTAAATTGAGATGGATTAAATTACTTGTCTCATTCAGAACCGGCAACAGCCTTACAGTAGGAATAGTATTTTAACTTCTCAAACATCTCCAATTTTTACCTCCTCCACACTCTGCTTTCCACTGTAGGCAAGGGGGTCCATCCACCACAGACGAGTGCAACAAAACCAGTCACTGTACATAAAGCCACGCAGTGGCTAATTTTACTCTTAAATCATTCAGCAAATGAGATCATCTGTTAAAAAAAAATTATCCCCACCTATTAATATCATTTGCAATTGAGAATAGACTCTGCTACTAACAAAAGGAATGATCTGATTTAGAATAAGGATATTATTTGTTGACAAGTTAGCATTTGCCTTCCTCCTTCCTTTATAAATATGGTAAAGTCCACTACATTCAACAGAGTTGCACGGATTTCTCAGGTTACACTAATGACATTACAACTTTTGTAAGACCTGTTGCCCAGCGTCCTGTGCTTTCAGGCAGGCAGCTCTAACAAAAACTGACTGAGGGACCATTTTTAACTTACATTAATCTTACACATTTTTTTCCCCACAGTAAATGTCACAACTTCTGACCAATTCCATGCTTTAAAAAAACGTGAAATTTTCCATTTTCCACCATAAATGGGAAATGCTGCCAATTTTAAATTGTGATTCTATTAACTTTTTTCCTACTTGGTTATCAGTATTTCTCTCTTAAAAAAAAGAAGAAAAAAAACTATAGGTAGTTTTTACATTCCATTTTCAAGAGCCCCAAAAAAGTTGTTTGCATACTGATAATTAAGATAGTTTTAATACTGACTAAAGAGAGACATTTTTAAAGTTAGCATTATGTTCATCCAATTCACAGTAGTAAACTATTAAAGTTGTTTTCAAGTTTTCATTTATCCATGCTAAGAAAGCACAAACTTTCAAAAATGGGCAATAAATTCTCTTTTTAGAACCTTCTCATATTTATAGGCTGATGTGTTTAATACTTGCTGCTGTGGAAAATATCCACGTTGTACAGACAAGTGATACTTCATTTTAGGAGCTTACCAAAAAGGAAGGAAAGAGTTTAAAGAAGGAATATAATAACCTAAGGCTAGGTACCCCTCTGATTTTGCTTTTCCAGAAAGAGCCATAGTGGTTACCGGGCAGCTGCAGGCCCCAGAAACAAGAGCCAGGAGACTGGCAAGTGGAAGAAACCCAAGAACAAGTCAAGTCAAATGCCTTTCAGTCCCTTGCTCTCTGTGGTGTGAGGACCTCTCCCAGCGGGCTGGGAGGACTGCACCCCCAGGCTTCTCTTGATCACGGAGGAACAGCACGGGGCCTGGGCTCCCACTGGTGCTCACCCAGGCTGGGCTTACAGGCCGTGCTGTCCTCAAGTCTCTGTGGCACTAGCACTTGGCACCATAGCTCCTGTCTCTTCACTGAAGACCAGCAAGCAACTGTGCATCTCAGTTACAGGGACTAAACTGAATCCACGGTAAAATTTTAGGAACAGGAATTTCGGTTATTACCAGTATTGACAAAATAACGCAAACAGACGTCTGGGCAGCAGCCTGACGGTGAGCGAGGTGACCAGCACCCAGGATGCCTCTCCCACTGGCCAGCCCTCCCACCGTCCTGACCCTTTGGCTCCTTGGGGTGACTTCTCATGGTCTTCTCTGAATGGAAAGGCAAGTGATTTCCTAGTTCCTCCTTATCCTGTGTGAAAATTCTTACTTTAAAAGTAGGTAGATCAGAAAATGGTCACGGTGACATCATCTACCAAAGAACCAGACTGGTGAATGATATTACTGAGATAATGGAGTCATGAGATTACTAAAATGAAAGAATAAACAAAACTGAATTTCCCTTGGAAATCCTTTTAGCACTGGCTTGAATTTTGAGACCTTAAAAGAAAAGGAAAGCTGCGAACTGTTTACTAATTTTCAAAATGCATTGTTTATTGGTAAGAAATAGACTTCTAAACAGATGCAAAAAGCACAAAGGTGTTTTGCTCAACTGTGTGATTTTTGTCTCCGTTTAAAGAACTTTCTCCATATATGTTTCAAGATGACTTAAACATCTTAAGGAAACTTAAATGCCCTGTGCTTGGCTGTTGTGGTCAGGACATCTCCCACCACTGAAATTAAAATGCTTGATTTCATTAAAAAAAAAAAATATATATATATATATATATATATATATATATATATTAGACCCATACTCATCAAAATGCTCTGAGGCCAAAACAAAAACCTTTCCAGAATGAAGGTAATAACTCTTACCTAAAGTAATAATCTTAGATTTTAAATGCAGTATTACTAGTTCCATAAATATTTAAGGTTCTTAACAGTTTTTAGGGAAAAAAATTATTATCCAGTATACAAAAACTGAATACTTCATTTTTTAAAAGGTTTAAGGAAGGTATCCCAAAAAGAGATGCCATCTTAGTGGTGGAGATGCAACCAGAGCTGACTAGATTTGTAAACATAAATTTTTTTCCAGGGAAGAGAACCTTCACAGGCATCAAGGTCGGTCAAGGGGCAGGTCTCCTGTCTAATGGCCACCTCAGACAGTCCCACTTGGGAGGGACTACCATCCAAGAGGTTGGCCAGGATGGAAGAGAAGCTGCCCGCCTTTATTAAAAGTGGGGAACATGGCATTCTCTGTCAATTGAGCAACTTTATATTTCTAAGGCAGTCCTGTTACAGGAAATTGTTTCACAACTTCAGTTGTTAAAGTACTTCATTCTGCACTTCAAGCTTATTTTAAATAATACCACTGGCTCTATTATCCAAACCTATGTTACACATTTTTAAAATTTGTTTCATATTAAACAAAAGGGTCCTTAGGTTTTTACGAGTAATTCTATGACCATGGTCTTCAGTATTCTCCTGCAGGTCCCCAACATAAAATACGTGCTTCACGTCCATCCAGAGTCTGCACCTGGTAACATCAACTACCACCTGAGAGCAGGTTTTCTAAAAGACAGGCTCCATCCCTCCTCCTGTGCCAGCCATGCTCATGCCAGCAGAGATGGGAATGTGTGTGGATTAACGGAGGCTCTGTAATGTAAGATTATTTGCAAGCAACTGGTCTGACCAGAACCTAAGCAAAGTTGTCCCTAAGAACATACAGCTCAAAGTGTCGATACTGTCTTGCAGAATACTAAAACATAACCCGCTCTTGTGAAGACCACAGCTCCTCCTCCTACCTGTAGGCACTGCTGTACCTTGCAAGGCTGTGAAGAAGCATTTCTGCGTGCTCCAGCGTAGGAAGATACGTGAGCACTTCCACAGGTTCGCCTACCGCAGACCCTTCTTCCAGACCCTCAAACATTTACACGGGCTGCTCTGTCAGAAAGAGAACCAGTCTTCGCCTCCCTGCCTCCACAAACCCATCAACCTCCAGTCTAAAATGGATAAGAACAATTTTTCCTATTAAAACAACTCTTTGGTCATGGACAAACTAAAAGATTTGAATTTTTTTCATTAGGATCCCGGAACAAGGTTTCTTTGTTTTTAATCTTTTAAAAAAAATTAAGGAAGAAGAGCAGAAAAACAGCTGGTTTAATTGAAGTGGAATTTAAATCTAAAAGGTCCGCCTGAGCTAAAGGGATTGAACCCTTGCCATGAGTTCCAGCTCCTGTGGAAAGGGTTGCCACCACCTCCTTGTTGACTCTCTGCATCCAGGGGGTCTTCTCCATCATCAAACTTCTTCCTCATTTCTATGAAAGAAATGAGCAAATTAAGACCCAGGTATTCACCGAGGCACAGGGGAGGGGAGAGGGGGCACAGGACTCCTTACTTTCCTCTCATCAAACAGGTGTGCCCGATACACAAACCTCGGCTCTCCCATTCCCACCCCGCTTCCAGGTTTGGTCTCTGGAAAAACAACCTAGAGGATGCCCATCACGGAGAAGGGGTTCACGTTCAGGGCTGAAAATGGGTATTCATTGAAATTCAGGCCCCTTAAATCTTCTTGCCTCACAAGCAGCTACTCAAGGAAATTCTTCTCTGAAAAAAAAACAATTGCCAAGAAGGAGACCTCCAAAAGTCACACTCTTAAGATCAAAGAGCCATGTCACCATCCTGGCCCCAATGATGCAGCCTCCACCTCGCCAACCCACCAAGCTTCCCCTCTTAAATCCCAATAGAACCAAAAACCCCGGTGTACAGTTCAGGAGACCGACTCACTGCTATGCCTGCCCCCAGGAAGGTCTCTGACGAGACTGAGACTGTTACAGACAAATAGGACAAATGCAGGTGGCATGAGAGCAAGCTAATATCCTTGGGGACCAGAAAAACTATTTCAGCCTTAAAATGGGTTTGAGAAAAAGGAATAGAATAAAAAAGAACTCTTGGTAATTACAAATGCAGTTCTCGATGCCTTTGTGACTGTGAGCCTCAACTCCAGGACCATGGCCCCACCTGTGCACTGTGCAGGCTCAGAAGACAGACCAAGCATGATGTTGGCGCTCATTTGCTAAGGAAAAGAACAGACTTTCCTGCTGTACTCACTAAGTACACTTCTACCTCTCATACGGGATTATAAATGAGAACGGAGGATCGTAAAGCTTCGATTCCATAGCATAAGCAGATGTTCAAAAAATATTTGCCAAATGGGCACAAAGCATGATTTCCTTCTATTTTTGAAGAATCTGTCTAGCTCAAGTCATAGCTCCTGCTGACATGAAAAGGCACAAAAAAGCAGTAGTTATTCACATTAAATTCCCTCTGGAAATGTCTAAATATTGTTCAGTATTACCTAATTTCTTTGCTTTCTCTCTCATTTTCCAGGCCATTTTAGCCTGTGATAACATTTCTAGCAACCAGTAAATCTAATGAACATTTGATTTAGGGCAAGATTCCAGGGAAGCCCCCAGGCTAGGTGTACACTCCCCTTTTCTGCACTGTACCTTCTAGCCTGGCAGCCTGGTTTCCTAGTCAAGCTCCTGTAAGTCTGGCATGAAGAAATCATCACTAATCTGGGAAGGTGGTGGAAGGAACTAAAGACATCTCACTGCTGTGCTCTCATTGTCAAAGGTGAAAGAGCGGAGACTCAAAAAGCTCTAGTGTCTTGTGCAGGAGGAGGGCAGTAAATCCGGCCTCCTGCCTCCATGACTGTTGGGTCTCCCCACTGCACCAGGCACATGAGGGCCGGGAGTCTGGCCGGGGCAGGCCTGAAACTGGACTTCTGCAACTGCAAGGCCGGGGACCAGTCACCAGCTCCCGTGGGGTGGCCCGGAGCAGCCCGCCACCCCCCGCGTGTGACACTGCCTGCCATGTGTCCTCCTACTGCAGAGCTAGCAGGCCAACGACTGCTGACTCAGCCCTTTCAGAAGCACAGAACATGTTAAAGACCAACAATACCTGGATCAGAGAGAACTTCTTTAGCAGCTGCTATGTCAATGAACTTTTTCTCCGCTTTTTTCTTTTCTTCTTCATTCTGGAAGTTATCTGGATGCCACTGCAGTGCTAATTTTCGGTATGCTTTAATGATTTCTTGCTTTTTGGCGTTTCTGAGCAGTATTAATATTATCAGTCATTAGTTAAGAAGTGGCCAACACACTGGCACAAAAAAAACTAAGAGACACTTAAGATCCCACTGGCAAATTGACACTGGTTTCCCTAACGGTGCCAATGGGATCACAGGCTGAACGCTTAACGTACAGTTCTGGATGATCATGAAAGCTGGTCAGCCTTCAGAATCTCAACGGGAAGAAATTACTTTTGATCTCTGCAATTTTCTCTTAAAAAAAAAATCAGACCCATTTTTAAACTTTGCATTTCCAACTTACCTGATACAATTCCTGGCATTAAAAGAGGGAACTCTGACTCTGAACCACACTTTTTATTTTGCTTCTGGTTAGCTTACTTAGTTCTGGTGCAGACTGTGACTGAAAGCTGATGGCTCCCTTGCTCAGGGAAGGTGGATCTTGTATAAATTACCTAGCTTCTGTCTATCTCAGTGGCTCTAAGTTGATTCTCAAAGTGCCACTTTATTATTAGCCTAGAGAAGTTTGCTCTCTCCTTCCGCTCTCCCCGTCCTGTCCCCACCAAAAGAAAGCTCCCTCCCCTTTATCCTTCCAAAAAAAAATCATGCTACAGTGTCCTACCTCTGTCACCAATCACTAATCTCCCATTGTCACAGTACTAATCTCTATAAAGAAATCTGCCTGTAACAAAATAGCTTCGTGATGTTTATGATGTGAAAGATGGTGAGGTTTAACCCATGACTAAAATTACATAGCAAGGAACTGAATCAGAGGAGAAAAACGAGCAACAATAAGCTTTAAAACAGTTGATTAAAAATAACAATGTAAATTTTAAATAACTCACCTTTTTACTCCCAAGATTTTATAATAATCTCGTTTCTGCGACTGTTTCAATAGCCTTTGTGCCTTTTCCAGACCTTCCCGAATCTGCTGATCATTTTCATTGTGTTCCTGAGCAGTTTCATAATCCTGAATAGCTGTCAAAATGTTTAAGATAATGCTGTTAAAGGAACTGTAACTTGTAACCTCTACTTATCCTACAAGATTGACTCTCAAGTCAACATCCTGGCCCCTTCACTCTTTTGCCATTACTGCTAAGAGCCTAAGAAGTGGTGGTGATGATTATGTTAGCCAACTTCTAAAAGGCATAATGAAGGCTGACTTTAGGTAGCTTTTTACTCCCAGTCGATTAAACTCACTGCTGTCTACCTGCCCACCTTCCCACATTACCTTTGCCACACTTCTGAGAGATTTTAAGATCTGTACTTTATACAAAGCAGTCTTACCATCACTACCACTGAACTGATTGTTACATAGGAAAGTAAGACTATGGCAAAGAAAATCTGCACGGTCAGACACAAGTCCACAATTCAGAAGAATCAGAGGATTAGAAAGGCAGCAAGAAGAACCATCAGCAATCAGAACATCTAAGTCACCCAAGGGCTTCAGCAGGAACTGTTACTTTTTAAGCTGTCACCCAGAGCAGATGACACTGTCCTAGTACAGGAAGTCTGATAACAATCCACATTAAACCTTTCTCAGATTTAATACTTTAGCATGCCTCAACTTAGAACGCTTTAATATCTAGAACACAAGGCATCAGAATATCTGAGTCATGTAAAAAAGAGTCAACACAGCAAACCGGAGACTTATCCTGAGAAAGGCCTGCTGGCAAGGTTGGTCCTGGCTGGCGTCTCTGAGGGAGTGTTCCTGCCGTTTCCTGGTAAGAATGGCTCACCGTGCCTCAATGTTTGTACACTGTAGTTTATGTTAAACATGGTCTTTCCTTCTGGGAAACTGGAATTTGGGTGCAGTCAGGGCAGAAGGTGCCTGGCTGACCAACCCCTCATAAATGTCCAGGGCACTGGCACTCTAGCAAGCTTCCCCGGCAGACAGCACCATGCACATCTTGAGGAATTATAGCTTGTCTTGTGATTTCAAAGAGAAAGACTCTTAGAGTCTTCTACCTGGAATTCTCTGGATTTCGTGCCACATGTCCTTTACCCTTTGCTGATGTTACTTTGTATCCTTTCAGTAGAATAAATCTGAGCCTGAGTACAACTGTATGCTGAATCCCGTGTATCCTCCTCCTACTGCATCACCAAATCTGGGAGTGGTCTTGAGAAGCAGACATCTCAAATAAGGGACCGTTGGATTCAAATTCTAGTTTTTATGGAAGTGCATTTCACCGTGGGGAAAAAACATCTCTCTGGATAGCATGCCTGAGGATTTGTCCTGGCACAGCTAATCTTGGAAGGCATTTACGAGACAAATGATCCTTCTGACATACTGCTGGAAGGTCACTAGCAGCCTAATGCCATGTCACAATGCCTAAGCCATTGCCCTCACTTTATCTCATCATGGAGGCATCAGCTGCTTTATCTCCCATCATCACAAGAATGAGTACAGGACAATAAGATATTTTGAGAGACACCGCCGTCACGTTAACTTTTACTAGAGTATATTATTGTAATTGTTCTAATATATTAATCTCTTACCATGCCTAAGTATGAATTATGTATTATGGTACCTAGGTATCTGGTATTATGTGTAGGAAAAAACAGTGTAGACAGGGTTGGATATGATCTGTAACCTTCATCCACTGGAGGTCTTGGAAGGTATCCCTTGCAGATGGGAGAATTACTGAAAGTAGCCTGCACTACAGGAAAAAATGAACCAACACCACCTCTGGTTCATGGAGGGTACATTTTAAGCTTTTATCCTAATTCCTGCCTCAATGCATTAACATTAAATACTAATATGAAACATTACTACAGTCACCCAACTCATAGTGACAACATAAAATACCTTTCCAATTTAGTACACAAAACTATCATAGAGAGTAGTGAGTTTTAACTTTAAAATTAATACCCATAAAATAAAATCAATTCCAATAACACTTGATACCATAACCTAGTAAAGAAAATGTTTCAATACATGCAATTTTACTATTCATGCAAACTCTACAGTTAAAACATGTTTATATCCTACCCTTTTATTAAAACTTAAGGTAGACACATTTTTCCCTATCCAGAAAAAATACAAAATTATAGGCGGTTTCCTGCATTCACATCATTACAGGTAGGTAATTAGAAAATTAATATGAGTGACGCTTAAATTTCCCATAGACATAAACTAGATTTTAAATTATATTTTCTTAGATTCTATCCTCCAAGGAGGAATCTTCAGAGAAAAAATAAATAATACCCAATTAGGCTTATCCTATATTAAGCATCCATGAAAAGTAGAATAAGCCAGAAATATTAAGGACCTGAAAAAACATCTACTACAAATTAGCCAATTCATTTTCTATCCTCTGAACCTAAAAAAAATCTTCCCAAGTCCTTTTTTCTTCCATATACCCCCCCACACACACACACTCAATCATTAAGGAACAACTAGACCAAGATGGCAGACAGCACAGGATTGTGCCTCCCTTACATCCCACGCCCCCACTGAAATGACAAACAAAACATAAGAATAGAAGCATGGCAGCACTAAAAACAGCAGACTAGAAATTTTCGTAAATTTCTGAAAGAGAGGAAATAAATGGGATCATATTAATAATAAACCTAAGCATAGAGAACCACAATCCTAGCAAATTTGGGAGCCATTCTTTATGGCCAAGGATCCTCAGTTGAGCACTTAGAAAGCAGGAGCAGCTTTAAGGTAACCACTTGTGAGATGACTAAAGAACGTCTCCCAGGCTTTCCCCTCGTGTGTGAAGCAGCTACAGCATTCAGCCCAGTGGGGCCCAAGACCAGCCTCTAAACTGAATAGAAGATATGAATATGGAGTGGCTCCTCGTGTGGCTGCACAGGGACCAGGAAGAGATGCAGAACCATGCCCCCAGGCACTCAAGATTTCTATGGCAGACCTGGAACAAACCAAGGAAAAACCGTTCCATCCAGAATTTAAATACACTAAAGGATTCCAGCCGATCAGTAAAGTGAGTATGGCACTGCTCATTTTGGCAACTGGGCAAGATGGCAAGCGCCACAGGGGAAGTCCTCCTGTGAATCAGTCCTACCCACTTAAAGCCTGCCCGAAGCTCCCCGGTGCAGAAGCAGCATCTCAAAGACAGACCCGCACAGCTGCAAATGACTGCCCTCTTTCACTCCACCAGTCCATCAGCAAATCCCAGATCAGCTTCCCCTGAACATATATCCAGAATTCCACTGCTTCTCACCATTTCCCCAATTACCACTGTGCTGCAGTCATTCATTAATACACCTGAACAGCTGTTAACAGCTTTATAACAGCTGTTCCCGGCTTTCATCCTTATTCTCCTAAAAGTCTATTCTCAGTACAGGGACTTGGAGAGCCTTTTAAAAAGTACATCAGACCCCAATAGAAACATGCCCATGGAACACCAATCTTCTCGTCCAGAATATTATGCAAAACAAACTGCACAAGGCCTGCTAAAATTAGCTAATGGCAGCCATGAATCCGAGATGAGTGGGGAAGCAAACAGTGAGAAAGCCCAATGGCAAAAAAAAAAAAACAAACAAACAAACAAAAATCACAGAAAATGCCAGCAAAACATACTTTCTGTGTAGATGGACTCACCCTAAGTGACCGTATATGTCCTTTGCATAGTACAAGAACCATGAAATCCAGAACCAGACACAGTGGAGATAAAGCAGAGGCCTTACTAGGGAAAAGATAGATGGGAAAAAACAGAATACAAGACAGCAAATTGCCCTGGGCAGCACACCTCAGGAACCCCCAGCAACCATATGCTCTCTGTGAGGGACTCAAGCGCAAAAGATACACCCCGTTGGTGTAGGAAAGGAAGAGGGCAGAGAAGCAGAGAGGGCACGGCCATTTGGAAAGGCCCTTTTAGCAGGAGGCAGAATGTCTGTGGAAACAGGCAGAGTATTGCAACTGTTAAATAGAGAAGACTGCCCGTCCCCAGCACTCCCCTATACACACACACACACACACACACACACACACACAGTGCTATACTCCCTTACACACCAGCATTCCCTTACACACACACACACACACACACACACAGAGCACTTTCCCACAAATAGCTAGGGCCACGTAAGTCATTTTATGATCATTTTTAAAAAATGGTATGCAGCCTCAACTTAAGACAATTTTTTTTTATGATTTTATTTATTTATTCATGAGAGACAGAGAGAGAGAAGCAGAGACACAGGCAGAGGGAGAAGCAGGCTCCATGCAGGAAGCCCAACATGGGATTCGATCCCAGGTCTCCAGAGTCCTACCCTGGGCTGAAGGCAGCGCTAAACCGATGAGCCACCCAGGCTACCCACAAGACAATTTTTAAATTGAAACAGGAAAAGACTGAGTGCCAAAAACTTACCTGATGAACATACATTAGAACATGAGCCAAATACATGAAAAATCTGAGCAGACATTACAGTATAACTTTTTCAAAACTTAACCCAATCATCTCTTTTAAGGGTACTCCCAAAGTAGAGTAAGAACTCACCAGAGATAAAGAAGACATAAAAATATGAGTAAGTCAATACTCAAAAAAAAAAGATAAAAACTATCATAAAAGGACAGATGAAATGAGATGGAGCCCAGGAAGCAACAGCATATGGGAAAAAATAAGGACCTAACATAAGGAAATGGAAATAAAGAGTTTAAAAAGACTAGAGAGAAAAGAACAGCTTTATATAACGAGTGGCTAGGAAAGTGAGAGAGCCCAAATATTGTGGTTCTTACAACCAGTGGGGCTTAAAGCCTGGAATTTTAGGAGTCAGCTTGCTTGGCTCTGGGAGAAAAGGCAAAGCAAACAGGCCGTGGAGACACAGCATGGAAACAGCGATCTGAAGAATACCTAGGGCACACAGTGGGCAAGTTACTTGCTCATTTCAGAGTGTGTCCCAGAGAGGCAGCATTCACGGAGACACCCCTGCCCCCTGCCCTCAGGATCAAAGCAACTGGTGGCCACCACCATTTCCCGGTGTGGCCCCAGCATAAGTACAGACCTGCA